TAAAAAAGTATGTTAAGCATGCATCTCTATCAATTTCTTAAATTATAAAAATGGTTTTACATTTTTGAATACATTTATGAAGTTTTGTATCATTATAATATATTTAATATATTTCCTTTGCATCGAAAGTGTAGCATTGATCTACTCCACTTCTGAAAATATCGTTCCATTTATACAAATTGTATGGATGGAATTGATTTTCTGAACTTTTAACTTTAACAAATCAAACAGTTGCTTATTGAACCCAGCTGTAAAATATGCATTTTCTGTAAATTTCTGGAGAACTCTTACTGACGGTAATCAAAAAGTTTTTTGTAGATGTCTGTATGCTTTTGGTCCAAAAAAATAAAGGGAAAGAGAACATTTTTTAAATGTGTTCGAATATCTTTGACCTTTTACAACTCTGTTTAAATTTTGTTTAAATTAAGTTATTAATTTAGTACTAAATTTAGAACTAAAAATATTTTTTTTCCGTTTGCAACGTTACCAATTTTTAGTACTAAATTTACTATAGGCGCACGCGCATTGAGGTATAAATACGTGAAATTAGCAGATAAATGAAATATTCTGTGTAAAACAGACAAGTGAAGTAAATGGTGTTTTTATTATCAATTTGATACTAGTTGACTTGACAACAACCAAATACAGCATAAAAACCACGAAAAAAACACAATAAAACCTACAAAATCAAACAGGCGAACTTTATTCAAGGCGATAATGAAAAATTGTCGCTAATTAAAAATAAAAGGGTACAGAAAATACCGTCGTGTCAATTTTTCTATGAAAAACTTCTGCGCAACATTTCGGCGCACTTTTAGTACTAAATTTAGTAGAAAATAGAACAAGATCTAATTCATTAATGACTTTTTTTAGTACTAAATTTGCTGTTTGCAACGTGAATTTTTTTAGTACTTAAAAATGCATTAATTTAGTTCTAAATTTAGTACTTAATTTAGTTCTAAATTTAGTACTTAATTTAGTATCGTGACATACAGCCTTAAAAGTCCACATATTATTAAGAAGTGATAGGTACTGAACCAACCACCAGAAAACTGCATTAGACATGACATGAATTAAGCTTAAATTCATTGCCGCGTTCACAGTAAACGGATTTGATACCTAACTTATTTACATTATAATTATTAATAAATATGTACTTACATGTTTACATCTTTTGGAAATCGGAAAAATTTTATCTTATTACTGAGGCCCTTCCTACATTATTAAAGAATTAAGTAAGAAAGTATGTTTAAGTTGTTTTGACCCAGTATTTTATGCCAGTATGCTATGTATCTATACTTTTTATTTTAATCCCATACGTCTAGAAGATCCAGGTTCAATTATCGGTCGCAGTTTTTGTTGATTTAAGGATACAATTTTTGTTTTTTATTGGATTGTTGGATATGCAAAAAAAATATTTCAAATAAAAGAATACACAAAATATGTTAAATATAAATAAATATCCAATTTTTGGGAATTGAGCCACATATTTTATTTACCGTTTTTTTTATATACTACGTTTCTAAAAAATTAAGCTTTGATTCTTTTTTCGTATTCAAGTGTACAGCATATAAAAATTACTAATTGACACATTTATAATTTTAATTTTTAAAACTGTTTACAGCTTTTTACATGCTGTACATTAAGTTTATACTTAAAAGCAAAAAATAATATTTTTGGAAACGTTTAATAAAAAAGGTTTGAATAAAAAATATATGTGGTTTATTTAAAATTACAAACCACAAGCTTTAGAAGATAACTATATTTACTGTTTGCATAATAGTTCCTGATTTTATAATGTGCATTAAGCCGCTAATGGCAATAATTTACACAGGGTGTTTCGTTATTAACTACAAATAGAGAACACTTAGGTGATATCATAAAAACTTTTTTCGGTGCTGGAAAATGTTGTAAAATACTATAATTCACAGAACAACAACACGTTTTTTGTTTAAAAAGTAGCAGTATTTAAGATTTACCAAAAAATGCAAAACTCGCAAGACTCTTGCAGCAAGACCAAGACCTAGCTGTCCAACCCGGTATTGGTCTTGTTTTGCTCATCACTAAATACTACTATCGGCTTTCGGTCTTTCGTTCCAAGTTAAATCATTTCTTGTTTTGGTTACGCTACGAGTTTACCCTTGTGGGCCTCAGTTTCGATAAGGTGGGAACCACCATTTTAGCGTCTCTTGAATGATTAGAGTAACATTTATTTGTACATTCTTTATAAGTGCAGTAAATGCCACCACGACGTATATTTTTCGTTTCACTCATGATTTGTCTATACAAGAAGACTAGACACAAATACACAATGTTTTTATCCAAAAATGCACCCAACGCAAAGCGTCACGACCGGTCCTAATTATTTTGAATGTCACAGAAATGTTCACCTAACTTACTAACTAAGCAAGGTTGTCACATCAAAAATTAAATTTTCACGCGTTTTTAAGGTGCCATTGATTGTCATTAAATTATATGCTTTAAAATTGTTTCGTAATATTTTACGTTTAGCAGTTTAAATTATGCGTTATTTGTATGTAACGTCTGTGGTAACTAAAAAATATATGTACATTTTTACTTTCCTATCTGTATACAGATATAAGGAAAGTATAGGAATCATGATTTTTTTCGACCTCGAGTTTTCGACGGATTTTTACGTTTTGAGGTCCCCTGAATCCGTTTTGACTATTTTCGCGATGATGTCTGTGTGTGTGTGTGTCTGTGTGTGTGTGTGTCTGTATAACGCATAACTCATGAACCGATACACAGAAAAACACCAAATTTTAAACTTAAGCTTTGTTTCAGCGTCCAATGAGCTGATTAGATTTTGGGCAGTGTCGGAACATCTGGGGGGGTACTTTATAGGTGGTCATTTTTATATTTTATGGAATATATCTGTTATTTACGTTTGGAGAAGAAAATTCTTCAAATAAAAGTTACTTCTAATATAATTATCTATAATTTTTGTTTTATGCAAAATTTTCCTAAAATGGTCCGTATTCGAGAAATTTGACAAAATGTAAAAAACATAATTTTTTATAAAAATTGTTCAAATAAAAGTTGTTTATAATATAATTCTCTATAATTTTTGTCCTATACATAATTTCTCTAAAATGGACCGTATTCGAGATATTTGAGAAAATGTGTAAATTTCGAAATTTGAAGAAAACTCAAAAACGGATAAAGGAAAAAACATTAAATTTTAAACTTAAGGTTTATTTCGGCCTGACGTGAAATGATTAGATTTTGGACAAAGTTGGAACATCTGGGGGGGTACTTTATGGGAGGCCGTTTTTATATTTTATGGAATATATCTGTTATTTATGTTTGGAGAAGAAAATTGTTCAAATAAAAGTTACTTCTAATATTATTATCTATAATTTTTGTTTTATGTCAAAATTTCCTGAAATGGTCCGTATTCGAGAAATTTGACAAAATGTGCAAAATTCTGATTTTTATGAAAATTATTGAACTAAAAGTTGTTTGCGATATCGATTTCTATAATTTTTGTTTATACATGATTTTTCTAAAATGGTCCGTAATGGAAAAGTGCTAAATTTAAATTTTTCTGTATTTTCGTTTTCAATGAATATCTATAGAAAAATGTTTCGAGGTAGATGTATGTGTAAAATGTATATATTTAGTTTATTCTCTAAACATTTATAGAGATGCTGCAATAACTAGATAGGAAAGTCATGTGTTGGACACATCAGATTTTTTATTTAACTTAAATGTCACATAACATCAGAAAACCTAGAAGCATCGGCAACTTCGCATAATGAAACAACTTTTGTCTTCGGAACTGCGCGAGTAGAAACGAGTTGCTACGAGGGATCTTTAAATGGGTATGGCCATTTATCTCTCTCTTAATTTTGATGTTCTTTGTCAACTTTCGCATCTGGGTAATCTGTGGTTAGACTTTCATTAAAATTAGACGTGCAAGTCCATATCAAAATATACTTTTTTAATTGTCACAAAAAATCCGTCTATAGTTTGTTTCAGACATAATTGAAACTGCTTAAGCATGCCCGGTCTGAGCATAGTAATATTTTTAAATTATGGTTGCTTGAAATGTAAAAAAAATTACCGTATAAGAAAAATTTCTCAGACATTTTTCTTGAATAGTAATATATTTTTGAAAACGAATTCGTAACATTTAAATCAAAAAAGTAATAGATTTATTACGAAAGTAATGACAAGAACAACCCTGGCTATTCCTAATACCAAAAAGTGAGGCGTTTTGACCGAGAACAGCGTTTAAGGAGAAGCGACACTAACTGTCGATGCTTTTGATATCAGCTTGACCATTTTCACAGCATGAATATTATCAATACACAACTTAATACGCTGAGAAAACCTGCTTATATTCTAGACTGAGCGAAATAGCTTGGCAAATTATCTGAAATTACAGTCCACGCGCAAATATTATAATGTGATTTATTTACATTGAGGTAGTTAGGGTAAATAATAGCAATAGAGCAAGAGCCCGCTTCGCCTAGGCGCACATCATTTCATAAAAGCCTCAAGTTTATCTGCGCATGTCACCAACACAGGTAAGAACGATGAGCGACTTTGTAGTTTAGGTAGTGGCTACTTTGACAGGTAACAGGTAACAAAGGTGTAAAAAAACAGCACCTTAAGTACATTAAAATATAAAGCTCGGTTTTTTTACATTTTCTTCAGAATAATATTTAAAATGACGTCATCCATTGCCGGACACTTAGTATAGTTTCAACCCCCTGCTGGACACCCCCAAACTCTGAAAAATTGTCATTACACTTACATTGTAGTATAAAAGCTGAATTTTATATATGTAGTACATTTACACGAACTGTATATGGATTCATTGGAAAAAATGTTTCAAGACAATTCTGTTGAAATGAACGTTACTTTCAAAGCTCAATACCTAGAAGAAAAAATGTTCTAATGATATTAAATCTTTGATGTTTCATAACAAAAAAATAATAGCACCGAAATTTTTACACGTGATAGACGATACAATGTTGGAAAATTTACAAACCGAAAATATTTTACAAAAAGCGGCATTGACTTTAAGAAAAACAATATGGCAAATAGAAAAGAAAAAGTTACCGGCTAAAAATATTACAGCGCAGGATTTAATATCAGGAGAAGCTTCGATACCGCAACAATTACTGGACTTTTACTCTATTCTTGCTGGGGCCAATCAAAAACGAAAAAACAGCTTAAAATGTAATCGCCAAGTTCATTCTTATTATCAAGATGTGATTTTTGGAGTTCATAATGGTCAATTGAAAACGTCAAAGCATATAATGTTAGGCATGCATTTAAAGAGCTTGACAAGCAGTAGAAAAGTTATTGATATCGTTAATAGATACGGGCACTGTATAAGTTATCAAGGAGTTGAGGAACTAGAAACAGAAACAACGTTTACTTCTATTGAAAAGTCTAGCTTATGCAGACTTGAATCTTCATAATATTCGGAAAAATACCAAGCAGTTACAAAATTTCATTACCACGTTCGATCGATTTATTAATCCCTTCAGCTCAGAATTACCAAAAGAACAATTGATTAATATTTCATCTGGAAAATCTGCATCACCACCAGTAGAGGCGTACCTTCTACATATTGAAGTAAACGGAGATCACCACCGTAAAGCATTCATTTCTGAGTGTTTATCAGATATTAACCGATTCGAAAAAGCCATAAAGAAAACATCAGTAGACAACTTCTCCAAAGATTATGAGAAAAAAAATAAAGTTCAAGTAGGTGGTAAAATTCAAGAAATTATATTCAAAGAGATTTATTTGGACGTATGCTAGGAATTTCAATGGATTACAAAGTAGATATTTCAAAAATTTTATCTCACCCAATTACTTCAGTGCCATTGTCCATGTGCCATTTGGATGGAACTATTTGTAAAACTGATAAATCTGCTTTGATGAAAAGGTTAGAGAAAGAGGTCCAACATGATCAACCAGGTCATATTGATGTTCTAATCATTGATGGTTTTTTCTTGTTGTACACAATGAAAAATGTTCCAAAAAACTTTGGAAACAATTTCAAAAAAAATGTTACAAATGGTCACTCAATTACAAGCATCGAGAATCGATGTTATCTTTGACCAGTACTTTACCCCATCGATCAAAGATTATGAACATTCACAACGATTTGAATCTGCACAATTAGAGTTTACAATAACTGGGCCTGAGCAAGTTCGACCAAGTGATTTTGCGAAAGAATTGAAAAATTTGAATTTTAAAGAAGCTCTTGTTGATTTCTTCATTTCACATTGGGCTACTGATGAAGCGGTGTCATTTATTCAAAATAAAATTATAAACGTAAATTTCAGACAATGTCATTCATTTACTGTTAATAGTTCTAATCACGTTGTTTTAAGTGTAGATGAAGAGTTGTCATGCTCAGAACATGAGGAAGCAGATACTAAGATAGTATATCATGCGTGTAACATCAACTATCAAGCAAATATAGTGATCAGAAGTGTTGATACTGATATTGCTGCTATAATGCTTGGAAACATGCATCATCTTAAAAACGATTCATGCGTGTGGATCCTTACAGGTACTGGAAATAACTTAAGATATGTTAACCTAACCAAAATACACGCAGAGTTGGGAGATTCTATTTGTCGGAGCTTACCTGGGTTTGATGCAATCACAGGATGTGATTACAATCCTGCATTTTTCAGGAAAGGAAAATTAGAACCTTACAAAATATTGAAAAAACATCAGGAGTACCAGAAAGCTTTCATGAAGTTCGGTAACAATGAATTAATTGAAGACAACGATGAACAACGAAACGTTTTTAATATTGTCCAGAAATTCATATGCAACATATACAATGTCGGTAGTATAATTGATGTTGATGCTGCGCGCCTTCAAATGTTCATTGATTCATATACGGTCTCTGATGTGAACGAAGCTTTTGATCGAAAAAAATTGCGGAATTTCGACGCCAGCAATCTACCACCATGTAAAAGCGAACTGTTACAACAATTTTTATGAGCAAATTATATATGTTCTATTTGGAACAATGCTCACCTAAAATGTCCAACCATATATAAGCCAGAAAATAATGGTTGGGTACAAGAAAATAACCAATACCATTTCAAATAGTTTGAAGGGGATCAGCTACCAAATTATGTCAGTGATTCGTTAGAAATTATATCAGGTATGTAATTACTATGTCAAATTATGTACATGATTTTATTATTATTCATAATTGTATTAATTCGATTAAATTTTTACAGAAACTGACGAAGAAGGTGATATTGACATCAATCAAGAGGACTGGAGTAGTAGTGACGAAGATTGTGAAAATATTGACGACAACGATGAAAATTCTGAGCATTATTAAATCATTTTTTGTATACAATAATATTTTTTTTAACTCTGTAATAATTATAAGAATATTTTTTACTTTCTATAATATGGCTATGAATATAATAAAATATTTGTTCATTGGATTTCATACGATAAACAATATTATTACCTCACACAGTCAAAACTTGAATTTCTCAAAAATATTAACAAACTCTAAAAATTTATGGATTCATTTTTACTTTCCTATCTGTATACAGATATAAGGAAAGTATAGGAATCATGATTTTTTTCGACCTCGAGTTTTCGACGGATTTTTACGTTTTGAGGTCCCCTGAATCCGTTTTGACTATTTTCGCGATGATGTCTGTGTGTGTGTGTGTGTGTGTGTCTGTGTGTCTGTGTGTGTGTGTGTGTGTCTGTATAACGCATAACTCATGAACCGATACACAGAAAAACACCAAATTTTAAACTTAAGCTTTGTTTCAGCGTCTAATGAGCTGATTAGATTTTGGGCAGAGTCGGAACATTTGGGGGGGTACTTTATAGGTGGTCATTTTTATATTTTATGGAATATATCTGTTATTTACGTTTGGAGAAGAAAATTCTTTAAATAAAAGTTACTTCTAATATTATTATCTATAATTTTTGTTCTATACAAAATTTTCCTAAAATGGTCCGTATTCGAGAAATTTGACAAAATGTAAAAAAAATATTTTTTTATAAAAATTGTTCAAATAAAAGTTGTTTGTAATATAATTCTCTATAATTTTTATTCTCTACATAATTTCTCTAAAATGGACCGTATTCGAGATATTTGAGAAAATGTGTAAATTTCGAATTTTGAAGAAAACTCAAAAACGGATGAAGAAAAAAACATTAAATTTTAAACTTAAGGTTTATTTCGGCCTGACGTAAAATGATTAGATTTTGGACAAAGTCGGAACATCTGGGGGGGTACTTTATGGGAGGCCGTTTTTATATTTTATGGAATATATCTGTTATTTATGTTTGGAGAGGAAAATTGTTCAAATAAAAGTTACTTCTAATATTATTATCTGTAATTTTTGTTTTATGTAAAAATTTCCTGAAATGGTCCGTATTCGAGAAATTTGACAAAATGTGCAAAATTCTGATTTTTATTATGAAAGTTTTTGAAATAAAAGTTGTTTGCGGTATCGATCTCTATAATTTTTGTTCATACATGATTTTTTTAAAATGGACCGTAATGGAAAAATTGTAGGAAAAGTGCTAAATTTAAATTTTTCAGTATTTTCATTTTCAATGAATATCTATAGAAAAATGTTTCGCGGTAGATGTATGTGGACAATGTATATATTTAGTTTATCCTCTAAACATTTATAGAGATGCTGCAATAGGTTGTACAAAATAACCGGAAAAAGCCTGTAATAACTAGATAGGAAAGTGATGTGTTGGACACATCAGATTTTTTAGATTTGTTTTTTTATTTTTAGCCATTTTATGGAATTATTTTGTTAAGTTAGTATTTTTATTTTTTGTTAATTATAAAAAATAGTTTAACATATGATACTGAGTAAGTAAAAAATAAGCAGTAAAAGAACGCAATAGAGCAAACTCACCATCTCACTCAAACCCGCCTGAATATATATTGCCTCGCGCTCGCACCGACGGCGGACTCTCAATGCCTCTGGCAAGATGTAAAAAACCATGAAAACTGTCCGGCTACTGGGGTAACTTCTTTTCATAGCCCCCCAAGAAACAAATATAAAATTCAGCTTTTATACTACAATGTAAGTGTAATCACAATTTTTCAGAGTTTGGGGGTGTCCGGCAGGGGATTGAAACTATACTAAGTGTCCGGCAATGGATGACGTCATTTTAAATATTATTCTGAAGAAAATGTAAAAAAAACCGAGCTTTATATCTTAATGTACTTAAGGTGCTGTTTTTTACACCTTTGTTACCTGTTACCTATCAAAGTAACCACTACCTAAACTACATAGCCGCTCATCGTTCTTACCTGTGTTGGTGACGTGCGCAGATAAACTTGAGAGTTTTATGAAATGATGTGCGCCTAGCCGAAGCGGGCTCTTGGACTACAATGGTGAGATGTCGGCACCAAAATATAATTCCTTAAGTATTAGTCAATTATTTGATATGAAAGTAAAAGAAGTATATTATTATTTATCTATAGACTTTTTCCATATTTAAATTATCGTTTTCTTACGTAAAAATAAGGTAAATAAAATTAAGGGTACCAGAAAAGACATTGAGTTTGAGAGTTTAATTAAATATTTGCAGTGCATATATTTTCAAAGCTTTTAGGTTTAAAAAGTATTTACATATTTTTAGAATTTTCGGATTTATATTATACTAAAAGGACTTCCAATTTTATTACAAATTTCTATGAAAACAAGT